CATCATCATCATCATCATCATCATCATCATCATCATCATCATCATCAGCAGGAGTAGCGTCCACAGTTAAACTTGGACTCCGTAATCGATTGCGAATATTTGTCAGTCTATGAATTCTGTAATTGAATAAAATGTTTTGAGGAATAGCGTAAATTTCCATAGCACTCACTCAATTTGCAATACGATTGTAATGTAGTCGAATCGAAAATGGTCGTAATTGGATTCGATTATTTTCACTTCGGCGAAAATTCCCCGGTTTGATTCCTTTTCGCTCTCCCCATTTATCCATACTTCACAATGTAACTGACTGCTTTAAGACTGTGCTTGACGCTTAAGCGGGTTCCGTCTGACATGTGTGTAAGTCTGTGTGAGTTTGTACGCTTTAATATTTGCTTGCATGTTTGCCCCGTTATCTGCAACCGTACAAATGCAATTCACCGCACTTGATACCAATCCAGTTTTCAGTTATAAAATTATATTGTTGAATAAATATTCAATTCACCTGAAAAGGGATTATAGTTTGCACAAATTGTTATTGGTTCTAATTCAATTGATATATATATGCACCCACCTATAGTTCGGGTTGCGCCATTGCATATCAATCTCTCAGCTATCAGCTTTTGTTCGTTCAGCAGTCAGTTTTTGCAATTGACGCGAACGCCCGAGAGCTTAACATGGCTCAGCGCACATAGAGATCACGCCTTTGGCATTCTTCTACGGATTTTGTGTTTGCTTCATTGATTTTGAGTGGGAAAGAGTAGTGTAGCTGAATGCAAATCGACAGAGAAAGAGCTCAACGAATGAACGAAAGATAACTCTATTGAATTGTAGCTTTTTCATTTGCCCAACTGGCATTAAATGTTAATGAGAGGATTCTACGCGGTTTTTTTAATTAAAATTTTTGGTTTTTGTTCCATTTCCAGCTAATTACGTTTGTGTTTTCACTGTAATTGGGCAGATATATTCATTTCATTAGGTCAATTTTAATGGAATGGTTTTTGGTAACGCACTATTTTTTGATTCGTATTAATTTTTATTTTGATTGTATTCCTCTCCGTCTTGGCATGTTCATTAACTTGCTTCTAAAGTTCCATTTCAAACATACACCTAGCTCGGCAAACCGGCAAATGAATTTAAATCGACTATGTGTCGATAACCGCTCTTAGCCAAGACACACATATCTGCTATGTATCCATTTCCAACCGAAAAAACATATACATTAATTATACACATATTATAACCAATTATTTTTTGATACGTTGATAATAAATATAGAAAATCCATTTATTTTATGTTCTGTTTTTGGTTGTAATTTTTTTCGTTTCTTCGTTTGATTTTTTTTCATCCGGATTTGTGGCTTTGTATTGAATGTGATTTAAAATTAAATATGGAATTTGTGTTTCGATCCAATTAATTTCAACAGAAATTCATCGTTCAAAGAGGATGACGGCACATGGAAGGGAAATGAGGATGGAAAAATAATCAATAATCAGCCCACACGTGTGATGGACGATCGGAATGGTGTAATGCAACAGGCCGGCTACGTCGTAAGGTAGGCCAATTCCACTTTCTGTTCGTATGTGCATTGTGTTATTGTGCAACTGCCGCACACAGAAATTGTTTGGTTTTTTGCCTAAAATCACAATGGATTTACGGCCCCTGAAAATTTCGAACAATTCTAATGAAAATTCCTCGACAATTCATAGGATTACCAATGATGCGCGCGAATGCGAGATGGAAGAAAATATGGGTCAAGTGAACACAATGATTGGTAATGTGTTTTGTGCCGATGCTGCAAATTGATATGCGAAATTGAGATTCTTCTGGTTTTTTTTTCACCCACCAATTGTCGGCGATGACGCGCTATTTTGTGTGTTTGTATCTATATGAACATTGTTGAATGCGGTGGAAAAAAAAAGAAGCCTTCGATTTCGTGTCATTCATGTTGCTCTTTCTATTGTATTTTTTGTTTGTTTGCTAGATTCGTTGATGAGTTGCGAGTCGGTTTTCGTGATTGTCTAATGATATTTGTTTCATTTTGGAATTTGTCTTCTTTTTGTCCTTTCTGGTAGGCAATTTGAGGAATATGGCGATTGATATGGGTTCGGAGCTTGAAAACCAAAACAATCAAATTGATAGAATAAATCGAAAGGTAAGGCTTAAAGTTCAAATCAATTATAGGAATCTATTAACCTCATTGATGCATGATCGAATTCACACGGCTCACGACGGAACCCGACACATTGTTAATGCTAATTTTCGATACATCATTTCCCATTCCAAACGAGAGAGAGAGAGAGAGAGAGAGAGAGAGAGAGAGAGAGAGAGAGAGAGAGAGAGAAAGAACATTATTCTGATGAATGATTCAGCTTGACACCCACAGCTTTTGGAGTGGTTCTGTGTGTCAATCCAGGGAATTTCGAAGATAAATTCTCAAAATCGTACGAGGTTTCTTTTATCGTCACCGTCACCGTCACCGTTGGCGTCGTCTTTTTTGGCATTTACATGCCACTTTAACGTTTAAATATTCAATATCATTCTCATGTTGTCTTTCGCTACACACGCATGAATGCATGTATCCGGTCGTGGAATAGCGTGAATAAAATCCAAGTACCTCACCAAAGGAATTACATTAAATTTTACGGAATTTACAGACGAAATGATTTCACGTTTTTCCATTTGAATACCGACGAAGCAAGTGAAAGTGAGGGAGAAAGAGAGAGAGAGACAGACACAGATCATACTATAGCAATCACGCACCACTTTACATGCCCTACGACAAAAATTCCGATAGTTGATATGATATACGATCCGGCGACGGTGAACGGAAATGTGTGAATCGCTTTTTCACTTGACAAAGATAGAAATAGATAGTTGTCGTACGTCATCATCATCGGTCCCACATTAGATAGACACACTCAATTACTTGCACACACACACCGTCCAATTCTTCAATTTTTATGGTTGGGCCAAAAGTTCTTCAACTCGGTCCCTCGTGGGCACTTGATTCTAGTCGGCGCTTGTGTGTTTGTCTGTATTTGTATGGACGGAGCCATACTACGGAGAAAGCAAACTCTCTGATGAGAAACGAGAAACATTATCGACATTTTGCGTTACGTTTGTATACCGTCCGTCGTGAATAAGTAATGCCGTGTCCCATAGTGTTGATGAATATTGAAGAACGAATTATATTCAATGTTTTTTAAAACAATGACCACCTCTTTCTCTCAGGGCGAATCAAATGAATCTCGAATAGCCGTTGCAAACCAAAGAGCTCATCAATTATTAAAATAAGCACGCTACTGATTACCACTTGAGTAACAAAATCTAACTTGATGAACAGTTTGAACAGAATAATAACAGTAATAACAACAACAACAACCACGATAAAAAGCATACACACAGTAACTGAAAAACACGCATACCAATCATCGGATGCAAATTTTATTGCAACAATATGCGATCGCCACCATCAAATGTGAAAAACCAAATAGGACAAAATTGAACAAACAAACAAAAATTGTACCAGGAAGGAAAGAAAGAATGAAATAAAATGCATGCACGAATGTAACAATATGAAATGTTGAACACCACGAAGCGGGAATATGACTGAAAAGGAACAAACAGCAATAGCTTCAACCAAATAATATTTATCAGTTTGATTTTTTTTTTCCACCAAAAAGCTACAACCAGAAAAAAAACCAAAAAAATCAAGAAATATCTTATGCTTTTTAACAATGATATTTGCATTATTTGCATATTGACAAAATAGAGACAGAAACAGCAACAAAAATCATGAGAAAAACAAGTGCTTCACAAATTTGATTTAAAAAAAAAATGCAAGACTATAATAGCCCACACATACATATGAATACATAAATCATAAAACAACAAGAATAAATGACACATCGCAATATATTTTTTATTATTGGATCGGTTTCGGCAATGAGTCACGCGGAAATAACTATCGAAACGGTTGCTTACAGTTCAATGAAAACTAGCAAACGAAAAGGAAAAAAAAATTATCCGAAAAAAACAACAACAGTTCAAATGAAAACTAGCAAACGAAAAGGAAAAAAAAAATTATCCGAAAAAAACAACAACAAATGAATCGAATTGAATCGATTCGTATACATACAGCACGAGTCTTCGACTTCCATCGAGCATTAACCCAACTCAAGCCAAAACAAACAGAACGAACATTAGAGCAGCAGAAGATGAAGAAAGAATAGAAATAAATCACGTGTCTACCACGTTTTCAGTTATAATTAAACTGAACTGAATTCTGTGTTTTATTTTCTGAACAAAATTTGATTTTACAAAATCGAGGCCAATTTTGTCCACGCTAATAAAATTACAATAATCGAATGTGATTTATTAAACAGTTTATGTTATGAAATGCCGATAAAAAAATGAAAATTACAAATAATGGACCAAAAATACAATTTTATTTTGTGATTCATGAAACATAAACGCAAAAGCAAAACCAAAAAAAAAAACAAGCACAGCACACATATACCAATTGGCCAAAATGACAGCGGAAAAAAAATCCCAGCATTAGCACACAGCACTCAATTTTTCCATTCAATTATTTTATTAACAAGAAGAAGAAGTAGAAGAAGTAAAAAAACCATGCACACAACCAACAAGCGCGAATGGCCAAGCCACAGAATCATTAGCATTGACAGAGGATACCTGTTTTTTCCGTTTGTCATATACACAGGACTAAGTATGACCACACTCATTCCACATTAGTAACTCGCTTTAGTAAACATGGTCAAATAACTAAAAAAAAAAGACGACAAATTTAAACCAAAGCTAAAAATAAATATCATATTAAAAAAACACGAAGAGCCAACAACAACAGAAACATAAAATCTAGGGGAATCACGCCAATTTCCATATTTAAGATATGAACAAATAATATGAATTTGTTTATGTTTCAACATATTAAACAGATATGTATGCATAATTTCAATTTTGCTCAATTTTGTTCAATAAACCGACTGTCAGCAGAACCATGTCCAATCTGTTGTCGTCATTATCGCTTCAAAAATTCTGGAAATGGGTTTTGGTGGATCCTGTGGATTGTTCAAAACCGCTCCTGGTTCTGGAAGTGGATCCTCAGGATGGGCCAGGGCATTGTCAAACCCAGTCTGATCCATCCTGAAGATCCACCAAAACCCACTTCCAGAACCGGGAGCAGTTTTGAACGATCCTGAGGATCCACCAAAACCCACTTCCAGAACATATTGTTCAAGGTGAATATGAACAATAACAACGCATTCGGGAAATAATACAAAATATTTGAAATCTAGCGTGAATTTTACATGATTTAAATAATACAAATAGATTTTGCTAAATAAAATTTGGCATGAATCCCCTAGCATAAAATTAAACTCAAAAGACATGTAACATCATGATAGTAAATTCAATTATCCTTTTTGACTCTTTTCATAGCAACTTTGAAAATAACACATACACACATAAAACCAAACAGAAAAAAAAACTAGAAGAAAATACCTATTTGATTAATTTATTGCGTCATTTTCTGTTTTTTTTTTTCGTCTCTGTGTGAAGAGGTCAGGCCAATAGTGGCACCAACTATGTACACGAAACGGATGGTTTTGTCCGTTTTCGAAACACAACCAAAAAAAACAACAACAAACAAACCAAACCAAACCAAAATTTATAGAAAAAAAATGAACTAACGAACATTTCGCATACAATATAATAATTTTTTCTTTTGTATAAGAACATGATAGTGCAATTATTTTTAAATAATTATATTTAAAACAAAAAAAAATAAAATACAAATATATTATATATGTTTATGAGAATCTAGGGATCGAAACGCGAGACAAAATGATTTAAAAATCAACGTAATAATGCGCGAATTAAAACAGAAAATAAATCTATATAAAATAAACATCTTTATATATACAACCAAGAGAAATAACAAAAAAAAAGATGAATATAAATTTATACACAAAATAACATTTAAGAGACACTGTAAATGTAAATTCTGGTGTGGCGAGTGCATGTACGACTCGGCGAACAGCAAATACAAAACAGAAAAAAATAGACATACACACACATACATCCATTTTTTCCCTATCCAAACGAGTGAGAGATGCTGAAGAATGCAAAGCGAAAGTTGCTCCTAAAACTCACGGAAGTTTTTTTTTCCCTTTTGCCATAATTTATTTCCGAAAATTTGTGTGCACATTCATGTTTGTCTATAAATATTGTTCTCGGTGAATCAACGGTTTGGTTTTTCAGTGAATGCGGTGTTGTTTTTTTTTATTTTTGTCCTGCATCTGTTTTTTTTCTTGTCTTTTTTCTGCTTCAATTTTCGTTGACTCGATTTTTGTTTAATGTTTTCGGTTCTCTTGACTTTCACTTTGATTTCGCATTTAAACACGTTTTTTTTTCAATCTATTCATTTTATTTTTCAATGTTGTTTCTATTTTATTTTTTCCTTTCAATTTTCTGTTTGTTATTCTTTCTTTTTTTCTAGGGAGAGCAAAATAAACTTAGACTCGAAGTCGCCAGCAAACGAACTGATGAACTACTTAAGAAGTGACAACAACATTTCTACATTTGTATACTGGCAAATTACTGAACCGATGGCGCTCAAACTTTAAAATTATATACTTTTAGAGCAATACAAGAAATATACAAATGAGAATAAAAATAAAACAAGATGAAGAAGAAAGAGTAACAGAATTAAATTATAAACTAGTTGTCCAATGTGTTTGGCTCGACATTTTTACCAACTGTAAATTTGCACAATCGAGAGACAGAATTTATCGGTGAAAATGCATCGCATGAAAATGTGACGGCGATGAAATAAGAGAGAAGAAAATATATCAATTTTACAACAACAACAAAAATATAAACAATTCACACAAAGAAAACAAAAATAAACATATATATATACATATACATATACACATTAAATGAACGTAATTAGAAATATTTTTTGATAATAGCTTAAACATTTGATGCAAATGGAGATTTTTTTTCTTTTCGTGACGTTCCGTTTCGCTTTATTCAAGGCAGAAAACAGAGACACAGAGAGACATAAACAATTCATAAGTATTTGCATATGAATATTTTGCTGAAATTGGAACCATATTTTCGTAGTATTTTAAATACATACACAGAAAAACACATCGCTTGCGATTGCAGCAACATTTTTTTGTCATTGTTTGCAGCGCTCCAGACAGATCCACGAGGGAGACAATTAACTATAGACCTCATATACTTCCTAATTACTAATAATGTAACGAACAGTTAAAGTACTATATGTAATTAATGCCTATGTTTTTTTTATTCAACTTTTATAAATCAGTTTAATTTGTCTCTTTGTTCTTTTTTTCGGGTAAATAAATGATTTTATTCGGTGATTAATTATGATTTTGTATATTGTGTTTCTTTTTTTTCACTTCATTCTTTTTAAATTCATTTATTATGATTTTTGAATGACATTCAAACTGGGCCGACGATACGCGGCTCATTCCGTTACAGCTTCTTCATATCATGTTCGACACATAAAATATCGTTCGATGACCTGATTTTTAAAAAGGAAGCCTTTATTTGAACACAACGTGCACAAATTGTCTCCAGAATTATGAACCAAATGCCAGACATTCCATACACATACACATCAGAAAAGGCATGGTGTTAATTAAATTCATAGCTTTAATGGGAAAAAAAAATATTTTATTTACTATTTTACAGACAGAGAAAGAACAAAAAATATCACAAGAGAAACAGATGATTATATCACTAACAAATGAGACAGAAAGTGTATTTATGAGTATAGATCATCATTCGTTTAGATTTGAATTTATTATAATTCCTTAGGCAGATGAAACTCGTGTATTCCAAAGCAGAGAAGAAGAAAAAAACAAAAAAAAACAAACCTAAACATATTGTCAATGAATTAAAATAGAAAGCAAAACAAGCCTAAAAACATATATAGCGAATGTGAAACGATTATGCTTTAGCCAATTCAAGCAGAAAATGTACTTGCAAACTCAACCAAAAATGACAAAAAAAATAGCAACATTTGATTATGAATTTCGTGTTTAAAAATAACCAACATATAAATTATATGTACATTTTACATTATACTCTACAACAATTTTTTTTCTTCGAACATTTTTTCGCGACACATAATAATCTATTGCTAATCTCGCACACTTGCTGAGGCTCATCGAATTCCAATTTCGGACGTATGTTGCCACAGCACACAAGTGCAATTCGAAACGGAGAGAGCCAGCGTCAGAGCATGAAAATGATTAACGGACCTTCCCACATTGCTATTCCGTTGAGTCGATTTCCATGAAATGTATCGGATGGAACGAGAGTGTGGGATGCGTTAGAGTGTGTGCAGAGCAAACGCGAGGATATTATGTCGAAATCGTGATATATTTACATATACACTCATACCCACAAAGAGAAAGCAACACATACACAGAGGAGACGGCGAAGGGGATGAAAAAGAAAATACACATCCACACATACATATATCAGTGTGTAATTAATTTTTCTTTTGGACGCAAGTAAAAGTAAATCTCTTTTTATCTGAAAGCATTCATTCATATGTAAATTACGTATTTTTTCATAGGATTATTATGTTAAATTTTTAAGCTTAGCTTATTGATCAATCTGCAAAGTCATGGATATGACTCATGAATGAGAGAGAGAGAGAGAGAGAGAGAGAGAGCAGACAGAAGATTATATACATAATTGCCATTTATTTACTGATGTGCTAAATGTTTAAATTTAAAAGAAAATTGCAGATACCAAACCACAAAAGAAAAATAAAAATAATCGTATGATGAACAATGATACTAATTCTAGTCCGTAAGTTAGACGATAACTTTTAGCGAGACCAATTTTTTGCCAAACCAGAATAAAAATCAATTCAACAGTAAGTATTGAAACAAGAAAACCAAAATAAAGTATATATACATATATATATATATATATTTATGGAGAAAATGCGACAGGTTTAGCGTCGAAATGTGCGTGTTAATGCATAGTGACAATGATTTTTCAAATTTTTTCAGTCATCTGAAACCAAATGTATCCACAGCATATATTGTGGAAAAAGCACTTAAAATGCCATTTAATTCGGTTGAGCAGCTGTGATGCGTTCGATTTCTGTACACACACAAAAAAAAATACAAAAAACAAAGTGAACGCTTTTCCCTCCGAGCTATCCTTTCACTACGAACTACTTTTTCAGCACTACATGAAATGTA